AACTCCAAAGCTCCCTGGGCAGCCCCCGCCAAGGCCTGACCCCCTTTCCATGGAAAACAATCCCAAAAATCCAATCCCAACCTCCCTCAAGCAGAGCTTGAGGCCGCTCCCTCTTGGGAAGTTCTTCAGGCAGGATTTTCGCTTCCCGGATTTTTTTCCCCGGGATTTTCTGTAAGGAATGGTGGAGTCCACAATGGAACATCTCCTGGAGATGTGTCCCATGCCCCAGTGACCCCCGGCCTTGGTGGGACATCCCGCTTCCGGTGGCCCTGGGGACACGGATCACTGGTGGCCTTGCAGTGGTTGGATTTCATTGTCTGGGAGGGCTTTTCCTACTCCTTTGGCTCCGAAATTCCATAATTTTAGTCCGACTTATCCATGGGATATGGCCCTGAAATTCCATTGTTTTGTCCAACTTTCCCATTGGGATGGCTTTGGTGGGACAGCCATCCTTCCTTGGGGACACGGATCACCGTTGGCCTTGCAGTGGTTGGATTTCCTTTCCTGGGAGGGCTTTTCCAACCCCTTTGGTTCCAAAATTCCATCGTTTTGACCCAATTTTCTGATTGGGATGTCCTTGGTGGGACATCCATCCTTGCTGGTGGCACTTGGGGACACGGATCTGTGGTGACCTTGCAGTGGTTGGGTTTGATGGCCTTGGGGGGGCTTTTCCAACCCCTCTGGCTCCGAAATTCCCTAATTCTGTCCGGTTTTCCTGTTGGGAATGGCCGGATGTGGGCGCTGAGGGCAGGGGGTGCCGACAGGATCCGGGAAGCGCCGGGAGAAATTCCCACACCCGAGGTTGGAACTCATCGGAGAACGAACGCCGGGCGTTGCCACGGCAACGGGAAGAGTTCCAGGAGCCTGAAATCCTCGGACTTTGAACCTCAAATGTTCCTCAGGAAAATATTCCGAGCACGGCCATGCTCAGCCTGGGCTGCTCCTTCCCAATCCCAGGATTTTCCTTCTCCTGGTGGCCTCGGAGCATCCTCAGGATTCACCTCTGCCATGGGAGCGGCGGCCTTGGAACAGCGGCTCTGGGAATATCCCAGATCCAGAGGGCTTGGAATT